TAAGGGCTGAATGACCTGTAACATAGTGTACTTGTAAAGGATCCCCACGGTTCCAATGGAGACAGGTGAGGACAGAAGTGGATTGTCACAGGGTACAATGTTGCATAAATCCCATCTTTATCTATTTCCCTCTTGCACTAATAAGTGTAGCTGGAAATACAAAATGAAGAAATATTTTTCTGTAAGATGTATTTATTTCTGAGTATTGACCTTTGAGGTGCACTGTTAAATTGGTTAGTCCACTAAAATAACAGGTTGCTGATTTAAAAACTGGTTCGTTGCTTATCTTCAACTAAATGACAAAGTTGATCACATTAAATTAATATTGCAATTTTATTGCTTTCGTGGTTTTGTTTTAACTATTGAAAATCTGTTTGGGGTTTTGTACTCTGTAAGAGTTTTAAGCATAATATGTTTGTATCTAGAGTTTAGATTTAATTTTATATTTGTACACGTTGAAGTAATATTTTAATAAAAATTATTCAGGTCCATACTGGGAATCTTTGCAAATTTTTGCTCCTTTCCAAGAGGTAGACACATCACTCAATTTCGTCATGCACGGCACTATTGATTATTAATAACGTCCCTGTGGGAAATGGCTCTAGAGCAAATTACAGGTGAAGGGCAGAAATGCGAACATTTTCTAGAGCTGCTTCTGACCTTCACATTCAGGAATGTCACAGTAGTCAAATCTCTTGTCCGGATCTGTCGTGTAACACCAGGGCCCCTGTTCGTCATTGTCGGGGTTCCTGCAGTAGTTCTCCTCCAGTCCCTCTGAGGGGTGTGTGTTAGGTGAATAGCTGTGCAGGATGGAAAAGCAGCACTTTGACTATGTTCTAGAAATCAGCCTATTAGCAGCAAGTCAGAGAGATGCTCTCTATTTCTCAGCTGAAGTTTAAGTTTCCGTCATCCAAGTGCATTTCAGCAACGTGCTGTGGCATGTATATTGCCAGATTTTCAAATTCCCCATTAATGGGCTGTTTCAGGTACAGTAGCCGATATTACCATTATTACTCTATTGTTGGCCAAATCTTAGAAGAACCAAAGTATTTTTACTGCATCGTCAGTAGAAATATAAAGGCCTCAAAATCCTGCCAAATTCTTAATTTGTTCTAAACATCTACTTTTCTCAGTTGCCCTTTTCTCCATAAAAATAATAGTTCTTACCATTTTGTCCGAGTGAAATATGCACTGGGCATTACACTAAAAATTTTTTCTATACATTCTCTCCTTTAGTCTTAATAATAACAAAAAAAGAAAAACCCTAACAGGAAGGTGTTACTGTCCCTACTTTACAGATGAGAAAACAATGTGGCAACGTAGAGCAAAACTTGCCTAAGCTTGAACTAATAAGATTGAGAATTTAACACACATCTGTCTGATTCCAAAGGCGGAGTGTTCTCTGAAATGCAGCCTGGACTAACGGGGGTGGAGGAGGGAACTGAGATCATTTTCAGATCCAGGGACGAGTTGATGTGTAGAGATAACAACTTAGATAAAAAGCACATGATTTAGAGTCTAAACAGGCAGGTTGTAATTTCTAGTTCTTCTGTGTACCTGTTTTGGGTAATCCCCACCCTCTCAGGACCTCAGTTTCCTCAGAAAAATAAGCCTCGATGATGTCCTAAGCCCCTGACATTGGATGATTTCACATTTGATTGAGTCATTTCACCTTACCTACTGCTAAGTATTAGATCTGTTCGTCTCATAGAGATGCAATCAAGGCAATTTGGGATGGGGCCAGGGTAACAGACACTACATTCCTATTTGATAAGCATCATTACTGAGAACTTAATGCCACCTAATGCCAAGCCGAGGAAGGTTCAAACAGAATAACACTAAAATAAATAATAAGCAAGTTGAAAGATTTGTGTTTGATTTACTCTTTGACTCCACAATGTGGAGAAGACCAGGTGGTTGATAACTTGATATGCTGGATCTAGACTCACTCATTCCTAAACACAGTCATCTCTGGTCTTTTCTCAGTCTCAGCCTAGAACTCATGGTTTTGTTGTTCTTTTTTACTAGGCATCCTTCTATGTTTGAGGTCTTCCAGAAAACTCTATACAAACAGTAAACAGAAAGCAACCGTTTTGTGCTTTTGTGCTATAAATAATTGAATTATTCTACATCAACATCAAAATGGTTCTCTTTGTATCTGCTCATCCACATATTCTGGCTTGATTTAGAAGTAACAGAATTATTCTAAATCCAGCAGGTGAGCGCAAAGGTGAACAAGAAAGTCTTACTTAGGTCTGTGGGGGTAACTGGCACTCCATTTTTGACAGGCAACACCACTTTTCGTTTTGGATGTTGTCCCTCTGTAGTTCTTTCCGTTCCCGGTCCTGCACTCCAAAAGATACACTGAAAGGAAGTCCGCACAGTGGTCAGTCTTTCACAGCAAGAAACCTCGTAAAGGAGGTCTGCACCGAGCAGTCACAGGCAGAGAACTTGAGCAGCAGACACCATTTTCCCGCTACTAAAACATCGTCTTTTATATGAGGGGTCTTCAAAAAGCTCATGGAAAGATTTGTGTTATCTTTCAACTCTATTTGCCCACAAAGTTTATGACGTACCTCAGTCTTTATAGCATCTTTTAAGATTCCCCGCTTTAGCCAAATTTTTAAATTTAGTCATCAATCACCCGGGGAAAGTACTTCTAACATACCTGTAGCAAGTGAATGCTTTTAACCCAACACATGTATAATGGTCACGATATATCTTCACTGGACTATATTATTACAGCAGATGTGTGACACTCACTAAGCATGTATACTCAAGGTACTTTGTGAAAGGGAGACCTAGGGGTCAGGGAAAACTTGTGAAAGGAGGTGATACTTGAGCTGAGACCTAGGAGATGAGAGGAAGCTGGAATAGCAAGAAGAAAGGTGAAGAGGGTCCCAGGCACAAGGGCTATGCATTTAGCATGTCAAAGAAACAGAAATGAGCCCAGTGTAGAAAAGCTTTGCAAGCCAACCAGTGAACCAGGGTGGACTTAAATAATGCAAAGCATTTGGGAAGGATTTTGGTTTTATTCTAAGTACCCCAGGAAGGATTTTAAGCAGGGAAGATACATTTCTAAGTGATCACTTACACGCCTACAAGCAGGGAACCAGCAGCTATAGTGGTCCCTACCAGAGATGATGGTGGCTTGGACCTGGATGGTAGCAAGGAGATGGTCACAAGTGGCAGATGTAGGGCCGGCCCGTGGCTCACTCAGGAGAGTGCGGTGCTGATAACACCAAGGCCCCGGGTTCAGATCCCATATACAGATGGCCGGTTTGCTCACTGGCTGAGCGTGGTGCTGACAAGTGGCAGATGTAAATGTAACCAGCAAAACCCTGGCAGATAAATTAGCAGTGAGTTGCTATGGGTCAAATGCGTCCCCCAAAAGTTCATGTACTGGAAACTTACCCCCCTTGTGACAGTGTTAAGAGGGTGGGAAACCCAATCATGGTATTTGAAAGGTGGGGTCTTTGAGAGGTGATTGGATCTTGAGGACTGTGCACTCGTGAATGGATTGATCCATTGATGAAATAATGAGTTATCATGGGCCCGCTTCTGAGGGCTTTATAAGGAGAGTGAGAAGATTAGCTCTCCTGCTCAGGCCACTCACGACATGACACCCTGCATCACTGTAGAGAGTCATCACCCACAAGAAGGCCCTCACTAGAGGTGTTCCCTGGCCTGTGGACTTCCCAGCCTCCCAAACTGCAAGAAATAAATTTCATTTCTTTATTAATTATTCAGTTTCAGGTATTCAGTTATAAGCAACAGAAACAGACTGATACATGGGTCAATATACCACACTACAGAAACAAGGACCGAAAATGACTGATTTTGACTTTTCACCTGTCTTTTGTTTGTATGTACCCGCCAGAGTTTATATAACCTTTGGCTCCCTCTCATCACCTTGAAAACAAGCAAACTAAGCCTTCAAACTTCAGACTTCAAACTAAGCCCAAAAGTCACCCCCATGTTCCTTTGGTTAATAATTTACAAATGACATATTTAAATGTTCGTGTTCTGTAGAGAGACTCCCACCTCCCACCAGGCTTTTTTTTTTTTAATCTGGTTTACAGTAAGTAATCCTATTTATCTCATCCTTTTCTCAGTATTTGTAAGAAATAATAACCAGCAGATTAGATTTAGGTTTAGATTTAATCTGCACTGTAATCTCAAGAATTAGAAATAAAGAGTGATGAGGAAGGAAGTACAGCAGGAGAACAGCTAATCAAACCTAACAAGATGAATCAATGTATAGACATAGCCCTAACACACAGAAATACTTTTTAAAATTGTATTTAGAGTTTTTGCAGTGAGATTAGAAACAATGTTGAAAGTCATCATCAAGAACACAAGAAGGATGTTTCTTGTCCTCTTTAACGCCTGTGATCCAGAATATTTGGAGACCTAAATTATTGTTAAGGGCCTACCACCTAGCCAACAGCAGAGCATAAGAGATAGTTTTAAAAGTGTCATACATTTATTTAATCTTCATACATACTTAATGGGACTTTTGCATATCTAGATAGCATGCAATCTCCATTGGAATCCAGGCCATCTCTCATCCTAAACAATGGGACTGTTGATTTGTATTTCATAGGAAACTACAGAAAAGGAACTATAAGGTTTGCACACTTGCAAAAGACGACATTTCAGAGTCTGAGGAAAATATTGACCATAATATTTTTAAAGTGGAAAACTTAAGAATAAAAATAAGCATTTTGTCCCTATCCAAATGTTCCCGAGGATTACAAACACCTTGGTACTTCTGTTTTACAGGCTTCAGTCCAGAAGTTAGGGCCCAAAGACCGTGGTCAACGTATAGAACTACAAGCCAAGATTATAGGGAACATTTAGACTCCCCATCTCCTTAAGAAGAAAACAAAATTTCAAATATCTTATTTTCAGGTCTTCGAGGTAGAAGTGCTTTTGTAAATCTAATCCCTTCATTTTTCAAACAAGAAAAATGAGACCAAAGGATGCAGTCATACACTCACGTTGCCAGAGCTGGTTAGTAACCAAATCCTGTCCTAACTCAGAATTTGGTTTCACTGTTCCACAGTGCCTTTGTGCTTTGGTTTCATAAATTAAAGATATAAGACAGGAGGAGGAGCAGAAGGAGGAGGAAGAAAGCATACGCACTTTTCTTTTCAAATAAAATGACATCTCTCATCCGAATGATGCCAGAAGACTTGCTGTTTTCAGCCATGATCACACACTGCTGCTCTTTACTGTGGTACTGGAATGACCTGCAGAATCAGGAAATACAATCAATGTTTCCTTTATTTAGAGAAAACCAACATTTATTAATAAGTAAGACATTCTAAGGTAACTAGATCTCTTGGTGGATCTGGGAGATTAGAATTGTTGCCTTTCGGTTAATTTTGGTTTAGCATGGATGAAAGACTGGAAATGAATCCTTCAATATGGTAGTTACTCTTGTTCCCTTAAACCTGTACCTTCTCTCCCTCCAGATTTTCTCTTTCTTTCTGTTCAACTGCTTTACTCTTTCTTCATTTATTGTCCTGAAAGTGCCAGGATATTTTTTGTTGTTGGAAAGAAGCAACTTTGATCGTTTTGAACCCATCCCTGAGATGGGCCGTCTCTATGACTGCTGGACTCCTCTGATCTCCCCTTAACCTTTGCCTTAAAGTCCCCCCACTTCATCTCACACCTCCTTTCCCCTCCACGTGGTCCTGCCGTGGTTGTCCTGTCTGGCGTTCAAAGCCATCCACAGCTACTGTTCCAGCCCAATAGCCTACATGAAGCTTTGCCTTGGCCAACTTGGCCTATTCGTTGTCTCTATCAGAGGCTGCAGGGCCACGCCTGGCACACCTACAATGCCCCCTTTCCTTCTTAGTGCTTGTCAGGATCTCTCTCACCTTCAAAGCCCAGCTCCCTGACATTCTTCTCTAGCTGTCTCAACCCTTAGGATTTATTCTTTCCTCTGAATCCTTACAGAGCATGCATTGATTACGCCACATAGCAATACCTTGTATTGGCTGTCTTTTTTTCTTTTTTACATTATATCCAGTTCCTTTGACTACACCATAATACAAAAGAGCAGGCTCTGAATCTTGTATCTATACTTCTTTGCTCCTTAGGATCTATCTGGGCAATTCCATCTACATGATCCTCAGAAAATATTTACTGATGGCGATGTAAAAAACTAGAGCTCAGAACAATAGCTGTTAATGTTTCAGTCACGTGTAAAAATAAATAACTTCATTTGGGGGTATTTTTCTAAAAGGGACATGAATAAAGCAAAACAAGAAGCTGTTAGTTTGGCTTCAGACACAAGGAGCAAATAGAGTTCCAAACTCCAAGCCCATAAATTCCTCGATCCTCTTAAGTCAGATTTTTGTTAATAACTCTATGAGTAAATTTCTTGCCGTTAAAATAATAGTGTCCCAAACAGCAAGATTTCTGCACTCGGGCAGCGACAATGAAAATACCTGCAAACGAATTCTGTTTCCTCCTCACATTTGGTGGCACATTCTTCTGTGCTTCCCACCCCGAGCTGCTTCTTTGTGACACTAAACAGCGAAGCTCCCTGGGTGTTTACATAGTCATCCAGGGGGTCCCCTTGACCTAAAAATGGAAGATAAAAGTGAAATAACTGACAACATGAATTAACACCATTGTTTAATTATCACGACTTTTTAATCTATTTGCTCTGTATCAACGAAATAAAACTTGCTGCTTTATTGGAAGCAGAATGGTGGCTGTGAATAAAAATGTCAGGAAAACAGCTCCAGTAGCAGATTGCAGTATATGAAGAGATTAACTAGACTAGAGCTATGTAACAATTTCTTTGTTGCTATATTAATGATACGAAACCTTAAACAAGAATAGATGCTATGGGTCTGCCACCGATTGCCATGTCGTAATAGAACAGTAAGACATAGGAGTGGCAGTTGCGTTACCAAGATTGGTGCAGATTTGCCCACCCCTGGGTAAATGGAATTTGGAGGCTGTTGTTTGATTTCTAACAACTTACGCTTTAGTTGTGACACTGTCACTTTAACTGATGATAAGCATTCTCTGAATGGTTCCACCTCAAGATACAAAACTTTTGGTGAGTTGATGATGTCAAGAATAATAAATAAGAACTGAACTAAATTATGGTATGGTGTCATCTTGGGCAAAAACTACTGGATGGTTAGAATCTCACCCACAATACAAGGTCATTTTGATACTGGGCTGCATACACTGACATATCACTACTAATTTTATAGAAAAAATTTTCCCATGGTGATGAAAGGTATCTGGCATTTCAGAGGAAACTGAAAAAAAAAAAAAAAAGAAAGAAAGAAAAAGAAAAAAGAAAAAGCAGAGCCTGGGACGAATACTGGCCTTGCTTTTTCTGTGAGATCAAATCCGAGGCAAAGAATCTGTCTGAAGTTTGCTTTTCCTCTTGTTCCTGCAGATAGTGGCCAAGGGGGCCTCAGCTCTGCCCCCACTGCAGGGCTGCAAAGAGCGTCCCCTGTTCTGATGCTCCACGGAACACCTGACCTGGCATTGGCAGCTCTGTTCCAAGCCTGCAGATGCCAGCTTCCATCCTTTTGGTAGAAAATGTTGCTGATTTTCACAGGGCTGAGAGGCCAAAGAGGTTAATGAAATGAAGATAGAAATGTTTCCATGGGATTAGGCAACTGGCCACCTTGACCACTTCGAGGGGAGTGGTGAGGACCAGAGCCAGCTGGATGGGTTAAAGCGTGACCAGGCTAGGCAGCGGGAAAGGCATGAGAAGACTCCTCTCAGAAGCTGGCCATGAAAGGAGCCTTTCCTAGAGGGAATATGCAGTCACAGAATTTTTTTTTTTTTCTTAAAGATGAGACATTATGGAGCATGTTTGTATGCTGATGAAAATTACCCAGGAGGAAAGATCATTACAGGTCAGATCTTCATTCTCAGCAAGGCTGTTCCTGACCACTCAAAAATACATTGACTGCAAGGTGAGGCAGTAGGGGGCGAGGCAGAGATGCACTCGAAGATTAACACAAAGCCATCTTCTAAATTCCACCCTCTCCTACCTCTGCAACTTCAACTTTCCTCAATTTAAGATACCCCAAACTAGAAGGTTGGATTATTGAGCAGGATGCTGGCTGATGTGTTTTAAGCTTTAATATACTAAAAAGCACTTGATAGATGTATAAAAGATTATGGAGAAATAGATATTTTAGGCCCATATCCATGTCTTTACCCAATGTTTTCTTCTGATTTGAACTCTCATTTCCAAGAAGAGTTGTGCTTTGGCAAATTCTATAAATCAGGATGTGATTTTAAATACACACGATAAATCCATAGAGTGCACCCTACAAAGAGTTAAGTTAAACTTCTTGAAGAGTTTCTGGGAAGTGTAGCAGGGCAGGCTATGATTAATATTCAAAAGGAAAATTTCCATTTATATCACCCTTTAATTAAGTAACTTTTAATTATGCCATTATTATGTTATATAGCATATAGCTGCTGAGGTCCGCCTTAGGAGCCAATGTCCCAAAGAAACATTCCAAAAGAGAATCATTGTTTTTTTTCTCTTTTCTTTGAAAATTGTTTCCAAAATATTTTTTTCTCTTATTCACCTCCAGGACTTATATGGCAATGGCATTTAATATCATTTATTTGTTGACAAAGAAACACCAGACAAATCTTTTGGTAGGAAAAATATTTTTATATTGTAGACAAAATGTAGATATATACTGCTACCAAGGCAAGTGCATTTTATTTATAATGTTGTGTTTTCATTTATGTGCATGTATACTTGTGCATGTAAAAGACAAGACTTTTAAATGCAAAGTGTTTATCCACCTCTCACTGAGTATAGTTGAAAAGGCAATTTTTTCTCTCCCCAGTCATTTCACTGGAAAGATAAGACTCATTTCCACGAAAAGTAAGGGTAAATACCTTCCTTTCAAAAGGAGCTTATGAAAGAATTTTTCCCTCTAGGTTGGTTAGGACATGTTAATCCTGTTTCAGAGAAGTGTGTTCTAACCTTTGGGTGTAGCCCATTGAATACTTGCATAGTGTTCCAGATCCCAGTTTCCATGGGCTGAAATAGAACATTCATAAACACACACACACACACACACACACAACCACATCCCACAAAAATCTGTTTAATCCTCTCCTGCTCTGTGTTTTCTTCATTTCTTTGAATGTCTCCCAGTAAATTCAAATGTATTTGACTCTAAGGTACAACTTGTAAAATTGTATTTGGTAATTTACCGACTGAATTTCAAGTATCTATACATTGTTTAAATGAAGAACTACTAGCATAATGTAGGATTGCGTTTACCCAAGATGTCCAGAATAGGCAAATATAGAGAGACAGAAAGTAGATTAGTGGTTGCCAGCTGCAGCAGTTTGGGGGTAACAACTAAGGAAAGTGCAGTTTCTTTTAGGGGAATAAAAATAGTCTAAAATGTATTGTGGTGATAGTTGCACAACTCCAAATATACTGAAAACCATTGGATTGTATGCCTCAAGTGGGTAAATTGTACGGTATGTGAATTGTATCTCAATAAAGCTGTTTCATAAAAAAAGAACCACTGGGACATGTGTGGAATATTTTTTAAAAGGTTTAAAAAAAACTGAAACAGCGGGAAGAGCCCTAGATTCCTTCACGGAAAGCCCTGGTTTAAATCATGGTTTCTTCACTTCTTGGATTCAGGAGCTTTGTCAATGGACAGACATAATTTTCCTAAGTCTAGATTTCCTTATCTATAAAATGGGGATGAATATACTGCCTACATATACCACCAGCTGAATAAGCTAATATTAATAAAGTACGCAGTTGTGCACACACATGAACACACAAACACACACGTACGTATGCATGCATAAAACTGTGCCTGCCCTGCCCCAAGCACTAGAAGAATATTTATTCAATTACCATATGCATACACCATTTGGCAAATCAGCACATGTGAGTTCTGCAGGCATAAGAAGCAAGCGTGTCCCTAGGGAAAGCCTCACCTAAGTCATAACAAATAGAGAAATACTGAGTCCAACTGCACAACTGGTCAGGGAACAGAATCTACTCAAAGAGATATCTTATTGTTTAAACTTAGAAGTGAGGGAAATATGACACCCTAACAAAAATGACATAAATTAATCAAACTGATCACTAGGCAAACAGACTAACCATCTTTTGAATTGTTAACTACACTTTTATCAGCTGTTTTTCAACTAAGACAGCCATCATGTGGGATCAGTACTTTAGATTTGAAAAGTCACCATTACTTTCTCTGCCCATTCAGTACTCACCAGGAAACTAAACTTATTTCTTGAAAACTTCTTCAACTTTATGCTAGATTTTGAATTAGGAATCTCATGAATCAAAAGTTAAATTAAGGGCCGGCCCAGTGGTGCACTGGAGAGTGCGCCGCGTGGGAGCGTGGCGGTGCTCCCGCCGAGGGTTTGGATCCCATGTGGAGACCGGTTCCCACTCACTGGCTGAGCGCGGTGCGGGCGCAACACCAAGGGTTGCGATCCCGTTACCGGTCAGTAAAAAAAGGAAAAAAAAAAAAAAAGTTAAATTAAGTGAGTTGCACATAAAACCATATTATCTATTTTTAATACATTGCTAGGAAAAAATAATGATTAAAGTAAAAAAAAAAAATCTTTAAGTCTTACCCGACTTCAGAAATAAAAGAAGTAGAAGGACCACTTCCTTCTGGTCCATTTTGGGTCTGGCCAGCAGTGTCCTGAAAACAGTGTGTCCCAAGTCCAAGATGCTATTGACTTACACAAGAGTAAATGCATCCACAGACAAGATAGTCAAATTAAGTTAATGATTCTCTTAGAGGCCCATGTCTCTGTACTCAGAAGGGTTCAAACATTACCTCAAATAGGGGATCTTACAAAATGTTTGAACGCAGACTCTGCAATAGATGCTGGGAAGTGGGGAGAGCAGCCCCCCCCACCCCGGCCACCCAGGCTGCCTTCCTTCCTCCCCTCCCCCGCAACCCCTCATCTCTCCCATTTAGCTACATTTCCTTCCCTCTTCTTTCATTCCTTTTCTTTTGGATAAAAAAAATCATAAAAATAGCTCACATTTGCAGAGTACCTTCCATATGCCGGACACGGCCAAGTGGTGCATACCCCCAGTGTCATGCGACCTTCACAACAAGCAATGTCATTGTCCTCCCCATTTTAGGCTGAGGGCACAGAGGATAAAACAAATAGACACAAAGTGCTCAGGCCTTAGATGACAGACTTAAGTTAAGCGTGACTGTTAACATCCCCACATTCTACCAAACAGTGTAGAAATTACGACGTAAGTGACAATATTTTATTATCATCATAATGTCTTCATTCTCAGTGGATGCATGTTTTCCATAATTATAAATTATGTCATAAAATATCAATATTTTCCCCCAAATGAATTCACGGTGTGTTATATTCTCATTCTTATGAAACAAAACAAGAGTAGTAGAATTGAGCTGAAAGAGTTCATCTCAATTGTAACTGTTGAATCTGTACTTAAGGCTAGAATGACCTGCTTTAAAACACCTATTTTAGGGCTGGCCAGTTAGCTCAGTTGGTTAGAACATGGTGTTATAACACCAAGGTCAAGGGTTCAGATGCCCATACGGAATGGTTAATTAACCTCTTTATTTTAATGTGAAATAAGGACAGGAAAGCATTCACTCCTCTTTCCAGCTACGGAATTCCTTTCTATAAATTAATTAGCAAAGTGTAGAGGTGGGCACCAAAATTATCTTGGGTGGCACCTCCTATAGAGTCCCCTGAAGTACTGTGCAGATTCTCGAGAATTTTAGATTCTCAAGAACTGTGCAGATTCTGGAGAACAGGAGGGTGGCCTCATGGGAGGGGCAGGGGTGACCTAACAGCATTTCCCGATTTTCCTTTTTAGCCCAGATTTTTTCTCTCCTCCGGCTCTTAGGCCTCCCTTTATCCTCTCTCTCTCACCTTGTGGCCCAGTGTATTAAAGGGGACAGAAGATGGAAGCAAGCTGAAAAATCGGTAGTGGGCAGATTTTTTTCTTGAAATAATATGAAATGTCTTTTAGGGGGCCAATGTTGGTATGTTTGAGAAAATACTTTGGGAATAAAAAAAAAAACCCAGATTCTACTAATCTATAATGTTTCCAGTATGTGTTTATTTCCATTTAGAATATTATTTTAGCACTTCCTTCTGGATAAGGCACCTCAGGCGTGATGTTATCAGAAATTCTATACCCACATAATTTTCCTTTTCCTGTTGTTTTCATTTTTGATTTTGGGTGTGTTGATGTACCTTTTGCCCCCTTTTCCCCTGGTGGTTCTAGAATGCACGTGATTCTCCAAATGTTGTTTTATAGAAGAGCAAAGAGGAATATGGAATGCGTTGCTCAGGAATTGACTGGGGTGGGCACGTGGAGACTTCCATTACGGCATGCCCTGCATGATCGAGCCTCACTGGCACAGAGTAGGCATAAAGCAACGGACTGTTCTAAATTGTGCATAGGAATCTCATGCTGCACTTAGAGGGATTTTTGCCCCTCACTCTAAAGACAAGTAATTCAAAGTAAGTCATTTTCTACCTGAAAGAAAGGCAGAAATGGGAAAAGTGATATAGAAAGAGGTCTAGTCTCTGTATACTATCATCAAGTTGCATAAATTCTGAAATTTATGGATTCATATTTAGTTCAAGTCATTATTTATTGAGCACCTACTGTGTACGGGATTGTGTTAGATTCATTTAGTATTATATAAAAAGTATTAATCACAGTCTCTACTTCTCCCAGGCTCCACCCTGAAGGAAATCCAGGAAACTTTTGCACCTAGGATTTGTGGAGATTCTGTTGCTGCAGTTGAAGCCAGGCACAAAGACATTCAAATAAGATGGGAAATGAACCTAAGATCCTGAGCTCTGCCCAGTATGAGGCCTGCAACAAGATTCACCCAGGTGCTCTTAGGAAAGAAAGAATCAGCCAGTCTCTCTCAGCACTGAAATGGCCAATTCCTTGCAAGTATCTTAGAGGGAGAGTCATAAACACAAGGAAAGGTCAGCGTCACCAGGAGAGTGAGGTAGAGTTCATGCTACAGTCTCACCTGAAGTGGAAGCTGTGGCCAGGTCACAGTTTCTCAGGTGACATGCCTGATGTTTGCACCTGCCAGCTCATTTCCACATAGACTTTCTACCTTCTCCAGCCCCAGGCCCTGCCATCTGGGAACTGTCATTCTAGGTCAGCTCATTTCTTCACCAGGGACATCACTGAGTAGCCCCAATAAGACCACGCCATTTCAAAATGAAAGCAGCAAAAAGTTAGGTAATGGGTTAATGACCCACGCAAAGCATCCCTTTGCTGTTGCAAGGGTTCTCAGCAAGTTCATCTTAGCCCTCGATGCCAATTTGCGGATCGCTTTTACTATGTTCATTTATTAGCACATATCATCAATGAAATATGTTCTAATTAATCTGGAGCTGGCTTTAATTTCTTTTTGACCTTTTTTCATGTTTGTTAGCCTTCGTTCACCAGCCCCTGGGACCATCTAATGAGAAGATTATCAGCCTTTGCCTCCAGTAGAGATAGCAGGCACTCAGCATGGTGGTTAAAGTGTAATCCAGCAGGGGACACTTTCTGAGTGAGACCCAACTGACTCGTTCTGTGTTCAGTAAGGTGATATTTCCTTAATCGAGCTGTGCTGGAAGAAATCGAGATATTCATTCCTTTTTGGAAAAAGTTACTTGTCATTGGCCATCTTCGCATCAGAATTATTATATGCTTAAGAAAAATATTAGCAGAGAAGAAGACGGTTGTTCCCTGACAACCGAGCAGCCCAAGCTGAGTAGGCAACAGGACTCCCAGAGGACAGGCCAGGGTCCCTTCTGCTCTGACGTCCAGACTCACCACGGATAAAACAGAGATAAACAAAACCATCCTTTCCATCTCTCACATGCACTCTTCTCTAAGCTAATTAACACAAAGATCTGATTTCACAGTATTTTGGAGAGACAAGACCTGTGGAAAACATTAAAATATTAAACATATATAATATATATTATACATATACAATATGCATGTATTAGTGTATAAATGCATGTAAAGACTAGTAAAATCTGAGCAAAGTCTGTGGACTAGTTCACAATTTTGCGGGAAGAGCAATTTGCAATTTCCTGTTTGTGATAATGAACTAGAGTCATGTGAGATGTTACCTTTCGGGGAGGCAGGGTGATGGGAACACTTCTAATGTGTTTATAATTATTTCAAAATAAAAAAATAAATATGTGTGTCTACATATGTATATATTTGTGTATATATGTATATATATATTTGGAATATATGTGTACATATTTGGATATATGTGTCTATGGGGTACTTCAAAAAGTTCGTGGAAAGATTTGTATTATATATGAATCTATTTTTCCATGAACTTTTTGAAGTATCCTTATATATTTGGATACATGTATATACATTTGTACATATATGTGTGTATTTTAAGAGGACCTAGGATGATGTAAAATGCTTCCATAATATTAAAGAGAATTCCCAACGTACAGATCCTTGTCTAAAGTTACAGCATTGCTACCTCAGGTTGCACAAACTCAGCCTTCAGCTCACGCCCGCGAGCTCAGGTTCGTGGAGCAGCATGGGACAGGTGCTCTGCACCCCCACGCTCCCCTCCCTGGCCAGCAGCCAGATGATGAAGGATGATTGGTGACTGATGCCCCCTGCACAGCAGCGGCTCCTGCACGTGGGTCTGGAATCCAGAGGCAGGAGGTGTCCAGGTCTGCTCCTGCCTCTCAGGTGTTCAGGGGGACCCCCCTATGTGCTCAAGGGCAGAACACAGCAAAACAGAGGCTCAGTGCTGTGACTGGCCCCTGAGTGACAACTCCCCCCGTCTCCTAGTCCAGTCCACAGCTCGCAGGCTCCACAATCCCATGCAGCACTGATGTCCTGAGCCAGGGTGCAGGGGAGGAGGGGTTCCATGAGAGTGAACACTGCCATGAACGCTCCTCCTCCAGTAGATGTCTTCCCAGTGTGTACAGTGTTTGGCACTGTGCTAAGTGCCAGGGGGTCAGGAGTAAAGATGACGTTACTCCTGTCCTCAGGGAGTTTTCGATCTCCTGGGGGTGGAGGCCGCACAGATCTGTATATTGGAACTGTAGAAGTGAAGGCCGGTAGGAAACACAGTGTGGCTTCAGAGAAACCAGGCTAAGTGAGAACTCTAACAGTGGGAGTGGTCGTGACATGTGGCCTGTGTGTCCCAGCAGGTGAGAGCACATGACACCACAGTGACATTAATAATCCAAATCTCAGTGGCCCAAGCTCCCAGTAAAGTGCACTCCTCCCACCACTACCACCACATGAGTACAAAACCCAGTAAAATAGCATATCTTCATTAAATAAATTCCTGACCTATCTCTATAATACTCTTTTCCCAAGATTATTAGCTGCATATTCCTTGACTCTTTGTGTAACAATGATTTTTTAATATCACATTCTATGAGAGAAAAGTAATTTATTCTCTCTCTAGCATGTTATTACTGACAGATCTGAAGTTTCTTTCAGCTTCACAATGCATTATTAACAATGAAAAATACGTTTACAGGATTTTTGACAAATTTAGGAAAACCTCTACCAAACTATTTTTATGTATGAGCTGTGGGATTTGGAATAATTTCCACAGACTCTTTGCTAGCTTTGTGCATTTCAAATCCACACACCATACCACG